CCTTTCACAAGTCATTCCTGCAGGTCTGGATTTGGGAAGTTCCACCACACTCAACCCGGCCCCCCTCTCTTTGCCAGAGGTCGTTGTCCGAAGGCCTCCGAGGTGCACAGCCCGCCTTTTTTTTTCTGTTTTTTCCCCTGCACATTCACAGGATGGAGAGATCGACCTGAAGCTCCTCACCAAAGTCCTGGCGCCGGAGCATGAGGTTCGAGAGGTACGTAGCGGCGGCAGTGCCTGCCCCTCATTCCCGGGAACAGCTGGCTCCGAGGCTGGCCTCGGCAGGAGGCTGGCTGTGACCGAGGGGACGGCCTCCCCCAGCTCACCCCACGATGCCTGTCTCGGCAGGACGACGTCAGCTGGGACTGGGACCGTCTGTACCCTGAGGTGTCCTCAGAGCTCCTCAGCGAGTGGGACGTGCTGCAGACGGACAAGGAGGACCCCGTGGGACAGCAGCCCTCGCACACCTGAGCCCGGGGGTCGCTCTCCCTGCACGCGGTCACTTCTGCTTTGGACTCGAGACACAGGCCATAAACCTAAAACTAAAGAAGCTTGCAAGCAGCTCAGAATTTTTATGTGGACTATTTTGTAATAAAAATATCTATTTTCAGTAGACCGCATTGGATCGTTCGACTGTAAGAAATTGCTTTTCTCTGTAGCCCTCTCTTCCGTTTCTTTCCGGCACTCCCTTGGAAAGATCCGTCAAGAGTGAAGGAGGGCATCTCTCCCCATCGTTGAAGCTTGGGAGGGAAAGCTAGATTCACGGGGAGAAGCGGTGGTGCTCCTGGAAGCCGTTCAGTTCACAGAAGCCACAGCAGCTCCCCGGAGCATCTACCTGTGAGCACCTGGACGCAGGGATATAGGAGGTGGCATGCGGCTGCCTGCGGGGGTCCTGGGGAGGGCCTGGCCACATGCCTTCCTCACTTTGGACGGTCAGTTATGTTGGTGAAGTTGCACTGTCTCCTTCGAGCTTTCAATGGGCGCGATCAGATGACCCATTGCCCACCTCAGGGTTTGGTGGCTCTTCTAACAGCACGCCCCTTTCCCCCCTCTTCGTGCAACCCATGCCTGGGGCTTCCAAATCGCATGTTTCCTTTCTGCCACAGGTTCCCAGGGCCTTGTTTCTGGTTCTTATTAGCAGGGGCCAGCTCAGCAGCCCTGAGACATCCACAGAAATACTCTCAGGGAGCCTGGGCCTCCGCTGACCTTTCAGAGGTGTAGCTGTTTGTCTCCGTTGCTCCCCCCAAGCATCATCACTGCCTGTTTCCAAAATGTGCCAAGACCTGGAGCAGAGCCCAGTCCTTTTTCTAAACAGAGACATCTTTTGTTTTTGTTTTTCTCTTAACTCCCCAAGACATCTCATCTGAGGACAGGACGTCTCCCCGCCCACCTCTCCTAGATGCCACTCTGGGTCAGGCCCGTGCAGTCTGGCGGCAGCTGACCAAGCCCCACTCCTGGCCGTGGGGAGTGCTGAGTGCTGAATGCTGCTCTCACCCTGCCTGGAAAGCCCTTCATTAAAATTCAGAAAGACAAAGAGGCTCAACACTTCAGAAACACACTGGGGGTTATTTTTTTCTGACTACAGTGCCCTTCCCTGGTGAGCCACCGGCTCCGGAGCAGGCAAAGAGAATACTTGTCTGTTAATTATAAACTCAGGGATTTAGCGGCTTTGGGGTCTCGTTTCCTCCTTTTCCAGAGTCACACTTTTAGCCCAGACAGCCCCTCTTTGGAATAATTCCCATGGTCACTGAGAAGTTTCCGTCCAGGCTGGTTTTTCTTGAGCCTGCAAGACTCTGAAACCCAGAGGAGGAATTGCTGTATTTCGAGTACCTTAAATCACTGGCAAGTTCAACTGCCTGAGGACCCTGATAACCTTGAGGGTCTTCAGCCAGCTCGAGCGGGGCCTGGGGGTTGACTTCGTTCCTCCCTTTACTTCTCAGACACCTTTATGTTCCAACCAGCGTGGTCGCCCACCCGAGACTTCAGAGGGCCTCCCAAGAAGATGACCCAAGAGGGATGATAAGAATGGACGGGCTTCGACAGGTACCTCAACGTGGTTTTCTACAGACACCGGCGGCGGGGCGGCGGGGAGGAGGTGTGGAGTGGGCCTCCTGCGTGTGGCGGATCGACTGGGTCCTTACCAGTTTCTCCCAGACTGGCTCGTGTCCGAGAAGCCCCAGCTGGTCTCTGGCAAAATCTCCCGTGGTGTCTTTGGCATGGGGTGGTAGCTGCAGAGCTGCTGTTCATAGGCCGGGCCCTGGTGGGAAAGTCGGTTCCTTCATGAGATTCTGACTACCACGTAGGATGCACCAGGCACTGTTCCAGACACTCCAAGCAAAACTCCCTTCTCTCAAAGCGCTTCCGTTCTGGTGGGGGAGATGGACCAATAAGTAAGATAGAGAGGGCGTCAGATGGTAATCGGGGCTATGGGGAAAAATCCAGCAGGACGCGGAAGGGAGTGCTGGGCTCGGGGTGCGGTGTTAGATGGGGCGGTTAGGGAAGGTCTCACTGAGAAGGTGACATTTGAGCAAAGACCTGAAGAAGGTGAAGGAAGGAGCGGGACTGGTCCCTGGGGAAGAGCATTCCAAGGAGAGAGAAGAGTATTTGCAAAAGCCAAGAGGGGGGCACAGGCCCGGCTTCTGTGAGTAGTGGCAGGAGGCGGTTGACTGGCGGGAGGGGACCAGGGGAGAGGAGTCGCTGTGTCTTGCTGGGCCCAGCCCTGGGCCCACCACAGAAGAGGCCTCTGTGCATGTAGGGTCCGCTCTCCCCAGTGACACGCGCACCCTCAGGCTCCGTGGGCTCGTCAGGCCGCCTTTGGAAAACTTTCCTCAGAGGCCTGCACGGCCCCTCCATGCCTCGGCCTGGGAATAAGGGTTGATGCCTCATCGAGGGAGAGGGGAACCGTGAGCTCTTCTGCCACAGAACTGAGGCCAGGCGGCTGCTGCCAGCTCCCGCAGGCAGGGGCGTGCCGTGTGCGGGGCAGATGGCAGTACCGTGAGGCCCACGCTCCCTGGAAACTTGTAGTTCTGATGAGAAGCTCAAGCAAGAAATTCACGTGGGCAGGCCGGCCTGTGGCTGAACCTGAGGCCATCTCCGCCCATGATGGTTGGCTCGTCTTTGCTAAACCCCGGAACACCCCCAGACAGGCTTCTGGAGCTACATGCTCCAGACGGAAATGGACTCCAGTGCTGGCCCAGTGTTGCTAGACCACAGACTACTGCTCACAGAGATCAAGGCCTTTCTTGCTTAGTGGTGAGGGCGGCTCCTGGGAGCCTTGGTGCTGGAATGAAAGGTAGGATTTGCCACAGCAAGATAAGGAAGCTTAGTAGCATCCTTGCTCTGCTTGCCCAAGCAGTGCTATGCTTTTCTGCCAGAGGCCAAAGTCAGTGGGGAAGGGCATGAGTGGAGGGGGTAAGGAGCAGTGTCAAAGAACACAGATTCTGGAATCAGACGGGCCTGGGGTCCAGTCACATCTCTTCACTTAGTCGCTGTGGGTCCTTGAGCAAGCTGCTTTCCCCTTCTTTTCTTTTTCTTCTTCTTTTTTTTTTTTAAATATATAAATTTATTTATTTATTTATTTATTTATGGCTGAACTGGGTCTTTGTTGCTGCACAGGGGCTTTCTCTAGTTGTGGTGAGTGGGGGCTACTCTTCGTTGTGGTGCGCGGGCTTCTCATTGAGGTGGCTTCTTCTGTTGTGGAGCATGGGCTCTAGGTGCGCAGACTTAAGGAGTTGAGGTACGCGGGCTCTAGAGCGCAGGCTCAGTAGTTGTGGCACATGGGCTTAGTTGCTCCGCGGCATGTGGGATCTTCCCGGACCAGGGCTCGAACCCGTGTCCCCTGCATTGGCAGGCGGATTCTTAACCACTGCGCCACCAGGGAAGCCCCTGCTTTCCCCTTCTAATCCTGTTTTTTCTCATCTATAAAATGGGGATAATCTTGTGATCATAATGCCTGGTAAAATCTGACTGCTATTCGATTTTGGAACTGATGGGGTGGAAAAGTGAACCTAGGGAAAGTCACATTGGATATTTTATTGCAACAACAAACATTTGCATCTCTCAAGGGGCTCCCACCTCCGTTTCCCCTCCTGCATCATCTTTCAGCCATGGATAGAGAATGGTTTGGTACCATGGTTTTTTGTTTTGTTTTTATAACAACCTTATTGAGGTTGAACTTGCATGCCTTAAAATTTACCCCCTGAAAGTATACAATTCAGTGATTTTAGTAAATTTATGGAGCTATGCAACCATAACCATAATTCTGTTTCCGGAACATTTTCATCATCCTATAAGGCTCCCTTGTGTCTGTTTACAGTTAATCCCCACTCCCACTCCCAGCCCCAGGCAACCACTGATCTGCTTGCTGACTCTTGATTGGTTGTTTCTGGAAATTTCATATAAATGGACTCATATAACATGTGGTCTTTTGAGTCTGGCTGCTTGCACTTAGTGTATTTTCAAGGTCCATCCATGTCGTAGCATGTGCCAGTGGTTCATCCTTTGGAATGCTGAATGTTACTCTGTTGTATGGACACGTACCACATTTTGTTTATTCCTCAGTTGATGGACATTTGAGTTGTTTCTAGTTTGGGCTTAAGAATAAAGCCCCTGTGGAAATTCATGGCCATGTCTCTGTGTGGACAGATGTTTTCATTTCTCTAAGGTAGATTCCTAAGAGTGAAATTGCTGGGTCAGATGGTGTATTTATATTTAACTTTTAAGAAACTGCCAAAACTGTTTTCCAGGGCATTGGTTTTATTTGTTTGTTTGTTTGTTTGTTTTTCAGTGCTTTAGAGTATCAGGATTAATTCAGTAAAAATTAAGATTTTTTTTCTTGTCTCCTTTCCGTACGTGTTTCAGAGGTCACTGCTAAGTGTATAGGAGGCACAATCTCTTGATTCCTCCCTCCCTGACTTCTTGCTGTCATTGAGCTTATCTCTGTTGAGAGCGCAGAGCTCATCTGTCTGCTCTCCCTACCAGCCTGTAAGCTTCGTCAGGGTAAGACCGGGTGTTCTTTGAGTTTCTGTCAAGGCCTTTGCATATTCCAGGAGTCCAAAGTCAAATAAGACATGGTCCTGACCCCAAGGAGCTTACAAGCTAGGAGAGAAATAGACAAGATTCCTCTGTGTTCTCAAAGCATTGGTGTTGAAAAACAGAGGCTTTCCGGATGAGTGGAGGAACCCAAATGATCCACTGCAAAGTGCAGGTGAAGAGAGAGAAAGGGAGCTTGGTTTTTCCACTAAGAAATACAGAGGTGGGTTGGTTTGCTTAAAGCAGGGGTCAGCGTACTACAGCCTGTGGACCAAATCCAGCCCGCCACCTGTTCTTGTTAACTTTTACTGGAACACGGCCATGCTCCTTAATTTACATACTGTCTATGGCTGCTTTGGGGCTGCAGTAGCAGAACTGAGTTGTGACAGAGACCATGTGGCCTGCAAAGCCTGAATTATTTACTCTCTGGCCCTTTACAGAAAAAGTTTGCCAATTCCTCCTTAGACGAAAGAATGAAGGTGAGAAATAACAACAGCTGCAGACTCCCAAAGTTCAGCTGCTTGTTGCTATTCAGAAATGCAATCGCAGTAGGAGTGATTTGAGTTAGAT